CCTAGTTATGCTTTCTCCCCAAAAACTTCTTTAAGATAAAGTAAAAACTCATTTATCTGTTGTATTTTTAAATAATAAAAAAAAGAATAATATAAAAATACGATTAAATATTTGATCACATTTTAAAGCACCTTAACATACTTTTTGGACTAAAATCATGATTAAGGGCAAACTTTGTAATTTAAAAAATGTTAAAAATAAAAATGTGAAAAACAAGGATATAAATGTGATAATGAATAAAAGTTAATGACCTTCAATGTAATTAAAATATAGTGTATTTATGAAAAATTGTGATGTGAATATAATTACCCAATGAGTGGTGTGACACTATTAGATAAAACCAAGTTTTAAAACATATTATTGCTTGTTTGATACAAAATTTAAGCCAATTAAAATCAATTTTTTTACATTTATTTCATTGTTTCAGCAATCATTTTTGAATTCTTCTCACACAAATAGACCTACTTTATCTTTAACGGTCAAAAAATTAATTATCAAAATTCCTACTAAACAAGCACTTAGTCTAATCATGTCTCACCATTAGAGATGGTCTTAGAGGGTATTCCGAATACGGTATATCCACTATTTCTCCCAGCTTTAATATTTGACCTTAATTTAACTTGGTTGAAAGAACTTTTATTCTTTGTTTAAAGTTTAAACAAAATTTTTAATCCAAGTGCGAGATTTCAATAGGACAATGATTATACTTTATTGGCCATAAAAAGCTCGGTCAAACTTTGGAGATATCTGAGAGCCATTTTGGCAGAATTTTAATTCATTTTTCACCGTTTGAGAAGGTAAGTCGGATCTGAACATGCAGTAATTATTGAACCATTATACTTATAGTGACCATTTGAATGGTCAAATACCATGGACGTGTAAAATTACATGAGTGCCCTTTATGATTTTAAACTTGCCTAGCAATGAAGGACAGAAATGACAATTGACATAATATGGTATGCACATGAGTGACCAATTGTCGTGGGCATGTCAGTTTTGGTAGAAAATCGGCCAGATTCCAATGGTAAAAAAATCTATTTTTTTATGAAAAATAATTGCCCCCAATCAGTGGCTTTATTTTTAACAACACATTTCATTAGACTCACTATTTTATTTGATTTTTGAGTATATTTTACGGAATCACCAATTTTTATCAACTTTTAACCTCACAAAACTTTTAAATAGAAAAGTCTCAACAATGTATAAAATTATATATAACTAACTGTCATCAAAATTATCTTTAATGTGATTAAATATGACCAAATTTTTCTTCAGTGTGTCAGTATCTAACCAGGTCAATCTTAATTGTGACGGTACATAATCAAGTCATAATCAGTTTCAATTAACACAGAATTGGTTACAACCAGTTCCAATAAATACAAATTTGGTCATAGAGGATCACCACAAATAAATCTGCACCACCACTACCACCTTCAACTCAAATCCACAACCATAAATGAAACCTTCACCTCAAATCCATAATTGCAATCACCAGTACAATGTCAAATCCAGAACAACAATGCACCAATATTATCTTACCAATACCTCCATCGACAATCCCGTTTTTACCTTCAGCTTCTTTGTAATGGCTACCATAATTTACTCTTCACTTTTCCCTACCCATGCTCAATCCCGCATCCCTCTTTCAAGGCAAGTATGCCCCTACCCATAGCTCAAAACACCTACAGCACAACCATTACCTCAAATCATTGAAGTCACAATCCTTAAATGAGAAGAGGCCTTCATTTTCGAGATTAAGAAATTCGATTGAGTCAACTTTTGAGTTGATTCAGTCGAGCTTGTAGGCATCCATACAAAAGAACATGGTTGTGGAGAAGAAGAATCAGCATCGAGCGATGCGCACTGCGTCTACAGCGGCATTCATTGCTGTGTTGACCATTAAAAGAATGAGAAGGAGGGTAGGTAGCAAATTTTTTGTCGACCTCACCTTTTCGGCAATACAATGGAGTGGAGAACAAGGTGGAAATTGGACTACTTCTGGATATTGTAGTCAACTATGGGTACGGTTGTCCTCGAGGTGGCCGAAGTTGATTTATGCAGGCAGAGTTGGTGTAGATAACAGAGAGAAAGAGAAATGTAAGGTTTGGGATGCGTGGGTGTAGGGAATGTTGCGTAGGGTCTCGTTTTTGTATGATTTTAGGTTGTTTGGGGTGGGACGGTGTTGAGTATGGTGATTTTGTATTGATGCCTGACTTTTGAAAGAATTTATTTGAATCATGATTTTTAAAATGTAAAATTAAAATATAGGGTTTTGTGTTACAATTACAGACAAATAATAAATTAAAGTTCAAAATAATGCAAGTGAAAATTTAAGCTGAGGCACAAGTGCTATGCAATGTTCAAGTAAATATTAAATCATCTCACCAACTAAATGTAGGGTAATTCAACCCATTAATCTCCCTGTTTGGGCTTCATTAAAAATGTATTTTAAGTGAAAAAGTATTTTAGAATGGTATTGGAGAATGTATGATTAAAAATAAGTAAAATTTTAGATTTACATGCAATAATATTCTATTAAAGAATATGTAGTTGGAAAGATGAGAAAGAATAATGCATTTTATTGGAATGAAAGCTAAACATGGGCTAATTCAAGTCAAAATTCCAATAAAAAATCCATAAGAATCTCAATAGGACAATCGATATATATATATATATATATATTCATGGGCCATGCGGGGGCCCATGCATTATAAAACAAATTTCTCACTTTATGACACATAATACACACATTCACACTATAAATTTAAATGCTTGTTTTGTAATCTTTTTTTTTTTTTTTGTTAGAAAGTCGATCAAAATTAATTTTTCATCACACATTTCATTGAATTTACAATTTCATATATGTTTTAACCATATTTGTCAATGGAGTCACCAACTTTTAAACACAACGTCTAAATAAAAAAGTCTCAACGATTTATACAATTAGTGTAATTAATTAATTACTGATGTTTGATAGTAGACAATTTGCAAAAATATTAATTTTTGTATCAAAATTTTGACAATTATATAAAATAATGTAAAAAAAGGAGTGTACATATAACATAATTGTTTTGACAATCCAAGGCAAACATGAAATGAGAATCTTTTCATAACCTTTGGATCACAATTCTAATATAAAGACAATAGCATCTAAGCAAAGGTCCTCAAACTTTGACATGAGGAGCACTAAGGTCCCCTACCTACTAAAAGGAGAATTTCCATCCCAACAATTTGGTTTTGAGGTTACTTTGGACATGATATTTCACAAAAAAAAAAAAAAGGGGGTACTTTGATGGAAATGGTAGCAAGAACTAACCGTGCAACAAAATCGAAACATATATTTGCAATGGGGTAAACTTTTTCTAGTAGGCTGGAGACTCAAATGCTCTTCTAGTGAGATATTGAGAACTTCTGTCCTAATTTACCACAATGTATACACCACAATTTCCCACAAAAGCAAAAAGTTGTAAACAATAACATACTAAATAAAAAAAAATAAAAAATTGCGTAAGTACTCCGAAATTCCCACAAAGTAGGTTGCATGCAATAATATAGTCAAATTCATACTAACGAAAAGAAGGGATATACATGAAAATGGCCCAAATAGTATATAACCTTTTCCAAAATAACCTTTGACTTTTTTAGAAATTTGAAACTACAAATAAAAGAAAAAGTGAATGAAATGCTCATCACATAAATTGCATACTGTTTACGATTTTTCAAGTATTTGGTATATAACCAAAAAGAGGGTGATTTTTATTTTTTTAATTATTTATTTGAAATTTATTTGTACTTTGTTTTTAAAAATTGGGAGTTCTTAATTTTTACTTTCTTTATTTTTATTTATTTAAAGAGGAGGGTATATTTGTCATTTTACAACTTTTAATGGAGAATATATATGAAAATAATGATTTTTGCAATGAAATAAAAAAATAAGGATGAAAATGTCAAAAAATGAAAATTATGGTTGTTTTGCACAATAATAATGAAAGGCATGAATGTTTTGTACTAATTAACATTTTCATAATTTATTTGGACTCATTTGCACTTTTTAAAAAGTTTGGGACTATGGTACTAATTTATTCTTTAACTTTTCTTTTCTTTTTATTGTTTTATTTAAATGGAGGGTATATTTGCCATTTTATATGAGAAATTTGATGAAGGTGATAATTTTTGCAATAAAAGCTGAAAGTAAGGGTAAAAGTGCCAAAAAAAATGAAAGGTATGATGTTTTGCACAATAATATTGAAATATAAGGACGTTTTCTGCTAATTACCTTTTAATTTATATTTATTTGCAATTTTTGCTCAATAAATTCAATTTGAAAGATTTTGTGAAAAATGTATCATTTTTATGTAGCACAAACTACCCGTGATAGAGTATAATCCACATACAAGACTTATGACTTAACAGTTTTTCATACTATTTAGTAATGCCACTAATTTTAATTTCAATCTTAGCCCTTGTTTGAGCCCCACTTTAAGTGAAAGAATGCATTTTTAAATAATGATTGATAGAGAATGTGTAATTAAAAATTAAGGAAAAATTTTGAATTTACGTGTAATATTATTTTATTGAAAAATATATGGTTGAAAATAAGTTTTGAAAAAAATGAATTTTTGGAAGAACGGGGCTAAAAAATAAAGGCTTAATATCCACTTCATGTGAGTTTGACAAAATAATGATAGCTTCTCACCCTCGAAAAAATAGAAATGCAAAAGTTGAAATGCATAATGGCTCGACATTATCTCAAAAACCCAGACTATGGAAAAAATAACAATTCCCTTAACCAAATTATGGAGTTAATAACCTAGTACTTCGACAATTAATTTATGGAATGAGTATCAAGTACTGTTTAGGGAGATCAAAGTCTTGTGCAGTACAAGAATTTCGAGGAACGATGAAATAAAAATCACCCCACTTTCTGGTACAAACCAATCGGTCGGGCTTGAAGCTCACCATAAACACCTAGAGGAAGCTTAAAGCAAGAATCTCAAATAGGAAGACAGCAATGTAGCACACACATGTATTAGTTCACCAGGGTGTAGCATTCACTTCTATGAAAAATGACAAGGATTTGGTCAAATATTTCCATTGAACGGAATCCAAAAGCCAGTCATGGCCTTGTTTATCAATCCTCATTAAGAGTAATAAAATTGAAAAACCAACATAATGACAACAAATCTTTGATTAAGAAATAACCTAATCTCAAGTTTTGAAGCCATTTTCATCATGCAGCTAAGAACCAGACTCAAACTGGCTCACGAATGTTGTACTTATCGTGGAACTGTTTTCCAGTTTTTTGACCACCAAGTCTCTGCTTGGTGCTCCTTAGTCTCCCAAGGCTGCATATGCAGTGACAGAAAAAGATAGAAGTTAGTACCTTACATTTAAATCATGTATATAACCAACTATTCCACATACCATCCAGTATCCACTATACTAATAACAAAATCACATAACACAAAGTAAGTTTGACTCGGCAATTCCAAATACCTGAAGCGCACTCATTTAATATCTCTACTTTCATCTTGACGAGCTTGCATCACCTTTGACAGATCCTACTGAAGCCTTGGGGCACAACTCCCCCAGTCCTACTTGCAGCATTGTATATTCCACGAATATTGTATTTCTTGTAGACTTTTTTTTTTGGTTTTCTGACCTCCAAGTCTCTGCTTGGTACTCAGAGAATCTCTTCCTACTGCATATGCAATGACACGAAAAGTACAAAAATTAATAATACAACTTCAATCCCAGGTGCTTTGACAACAATGAAATTGCAACTGACGTAAGTGTGCATAGAACTAGTTTATGCTATCATTCAATCAACAAATCGGAAGTTGATTCAAGAGCAATTACCAAGAGAATCTCTCAAAGAAATTTTCCATGATAATTATCTGATATATCACTTAAAAGTCTAATACAAGTATACTACCGATGATTCAATATTAGTTCAAAATGAATATTTTACTAGCAATATTAAGCAATATCCAATGTCATAGTGAGAAATAACAATGCAAGATACCTGAAGCGCTCTTTTCTGATACCTCTACTTCCATCTTGAAAGTCTACTGGCGTTATATACACCACAGGTTCATATTTTTCAGTCCGCTCAACCTCAGTTTGATTCGCATCACCTTCATTGGTCCTACTGAAGTTCTAGATTTTGAGTCATTAATGCCTTGGGGCACAACTCCCTCAGTCTTACTTGCAGCCTTGTGTATTTTACGAATGTTGTATTTCTTGAAAAAAAATTCTCGTTTTTCTGACCACCAAGTCTCTGCTTGCTTCTCAGAGAATCTCTTCCTACTGCATATGCAATGACAGGAAAAATACAAAAATTAATAATACAACTTCAATCCCAAGTACTTAGACATTAATGAAATTGCAACTGACATAAGTGTGCATAGAATTAGTTTAATTTATCATTCAATCAACAAATCAAAAGGTGATTCAAAAGCAATTACCAAAAGAAGTCTCAAAGAAAATTTCCATAATAATTATCTGATATATAACTTAAAAGTCTTCTACTACTGATGATTCAATATTATTTCAAAATTAATCTTTTACTAGCAGTATTAAGCAATATCCAATGTCATAGTGAGAAATAACAATGCAAAATACCTGAAGCGCGCTTTTTTGATATCTCTACTTCCATCTTGCAAGTCTACTAGTGTTGTATACACCCCAGGTTCATATTTTTCAGTCCACTCAGCCTCAGTTTCATTTGCATCACCTTCATTGAATCCTACTGAAGTTCTAGATTTTGAGCCATTAATGCCTTGGGGCACAAGTCCCTCAGTCTTAATTGCAGCCTTGTTGGAGGCTGAAAAGCGAATGTTGTATTTATTGTAAACATTTTCACGATTTTCTGACCACCAAAACTCTGCTTGGTACTCAGAGAATTTCCTCCTACTGCATATGCAATCACAGGAAAAATACAAAAATTAATAATACAACTTCAATCCCAGGTACTTTGACATTAATGAAATAGCAACTGACATAAGAAGTGTGCATAGAACTGGTTTAAGTTATCATTCAATCAACAAATCAGAAGTGATTCAAGAGCAATTACCAAAAGAACTCTCAAAGAAATTCTCCATTGTCTGATATATCACTTAAAAGTCGTATACAACCATGCTTCAATATTATTTCAAAATAATGAATCTTTTACTAGCAGTATTAAGCAATATCCAATGTTACAGTGAGAATAAAAGTGCCAAATACCTGAAGCGCACTTGTCGGATATCACTACTTCCATCTCGAAAATCTACAAGTGTTATATACACCCTAGGTTCGTATTGTTCAACCCGCTCGAACACATTTTGGCTAGCATCCCTGGTAGTCAAAGAATTTCGTGTTTTCGAGCCATTTTCATCAAGTCCTTTACTGCGCAGGTCATTTTCGATGCTCTTGACAGAATCATTAATTAAGTGAGAGGGGCCGAAATCAAATCGTGAACTCCTTTCTTCATTTTCAACATTTTTTTCTTCTCCTGGGGAATCCAAAGATAGTTCCTCAAAATCCAACGATACGGAACTCGCGGCGCTTGTGCTTCTTGAATGGGCATGAGCCATTTCCAAATACTGCTGACGTCGCAGCACAGCTTGCAACAACCTCTCCCAGTTGTCATACACAGCAGGCATCTCTGTTTCGGCTTCAACAACTTCAAATACACAATGTTTGTTTATATTATGGATAGTGATAGCCTGAGCAAACTCTGAACCTATACAAGTAAGGATATGGTAAAATCAGTAAGAGATAAATGGCAAAAACCGGCTCAAAAGACAAATCACATTTTCAAATTCCGAACACGGAGCAAGAATCTTTACGTAACCACGAATGATCATATTTCCAGAACACAATATATAAGCGAACAATTTCTGAGAAACTATCCCCACAATTGTACGACTCAAAGTAAAACTTCTACGCTGTAGGGACTAGAGGAAAGAAAGAACAGAAATGTGAAGGAACACGCACACAAAACGCATTAATGTTCCCGGCTTCTCAGAAGTTGGTAAATAAGTAAAAGTAACCACAAGAAAAAAGATAATTTTGAGTGACCTTGGGTGCTGAGACTGGAGGAGGAGCTAATCTTGCTCTTGTTCGCACTTTCAAATCGAGATTGGATTTCGTGTAATGTTATTTCAATTTATAAGTATATCATTTAACGCCATCTAAAATAGGGTTGCAATTCTAGTGAGAATATAATATAACATTACTCGAATATTTGTTGACGAAAAGACAAAATAATGACCAAGGAGTCAATATCATTTTTCCCTATCCCGACTTTATAAAAAAGGGAATGTAAAGGTATTAAAAACAATGAATTCTTCCATTTTATTATAATGTAGCAATTTATTTATTTTTTAATCGTGGGAGCAAAAGCAATATCATGTTGTCTTCAATCATTTCTCCATTTTCACATGTTACTTTATTGCAATAATCACCTTCATTGCAATATTTCTCCATTTTCACAAATTACTTCACTCCATCCAATCCAATACTAAGCTCTCGTTTGATTTCCATTGCTTTTAAAATGTATTTTTTCTCTCTTATTTTCAACCACACGTTTTTCAATAAAATAATATTACACTCAAATTCAATACTTTTTCTTATTTTTTATTCACACATTCTCCATCAAATCACTATTACAAAATATATTTTTGACAAATAATGGGAATCAAATAGACCTTAATAAAGGAAAGAAACTAAATGATTTAACAAATTAAAAAACAAAGAAAAAAAGAATTGCAGACAAAAATAGAAAAAAAAAGGTTATTATAAATTTTTTTAATTAAATTGAAATAATTAAAATTAAAATTAAATATTATTTAATTAAAATTAAAAAATTACGTTTTATCGTAGAACGAAAAGAATTATAAATCGAAAAAAATTATCTATAATATGAATATTAAAGAAATTTTAAAACAGTATTCAAAAATAATAATAATAATAACAAAATACATTAAACAAAAAAAGAGTTACAAAAATTAAATAAAGAACATATAAATATTATTTAATTAAAATTTAAAAATTAATTTTTATCATAAAGAGAAAAGAACTAAAAAGAACTTTAAATTGAAAAAAACATTGTTTATAATATAAAAAAATAAAAATAAAGGAGAGAGTCCTTTCCAAAGGAGAAGAGACTCTCCTGGATTCCTTTTGAAAGGAACTCTCCTTTTGAAAGAAGGATTCTCTCTTTTTGAATCCTTCTGAAAGGAGGAGTCCCTCCCAAACTCTCCTTTTTTCAAAAGGAGAGTGACTCTCCGGCTCATGGAGAGATTTTATTCGTGGGACCACAAAGAAAATTTCTCTTTTGTTTAATTTGTTTTGATTTTATTATACATTTTTTAAATTATTTCAAAATTTTTATTTTCTTCATATTATAAATAATTTTTTGTTCAATTTAAAATTCCTTTTAGTTCTTTTTATGATAAACGTAATTTTTCAGTTATAATTAAATAATATTTATTTTTAATTTTAATTATTTCAATTTAATTAGAAAATTTTATAATAACTTATTTTTAAATTTTTTTTGCCCGCAATTCTTTCTTTTGTTCCTTAGTTTGTTAAATAATTTAGTTTCTTATTCGTATTGATGCAGAGTTGAGAAAGATAATCATTAAGATTAGGATTCTCGATTTTAGTCATCATCATTTTTTTCATTTTTTCATTTTTTTTCCATTTTTGTGAAAAAAAAATTCATCTCAAACATTAAGGTAAGGAGTGAATATAACATTCATTAATCAAGGTTTAATTATTATGATTAATTAAATAATTGATATTTTTCTATAATTATACATAAGATATATTCATTCCTTTATCATATTAATAGAATAAAACGGTGCCGTTTTGCCATTCAACGTAGAAAAAGGATATCGATTTGTACTGTAAGAGTGTGTTTGATTGATATGGAAAATATTACCTAGAAAAGAAAATATTTTCCATCTTTTGTGGAAAATAAAAACCACCTCTACCCAAGGAAAATATTTTCCTTAAAAACAAGGAAAATTAGGTATATTTTCAAAAGTTGGAAAATATTTTCCATGGAAAAAAATAGCAATCAAACACTCCAAGTGAAAATTTGGATGGAAAACTGATATTTTCCATGGAAAATAAAAGTAATCAAACACACCCTAAATGTAGGTAAAAAGGATAAGAAAGAAATGAAAAATAAAACAAAAAAGTTATTATAAATCTTTTAATTAAATTGAAATAAATAAATTTAAAATAAATATTGTTTAATTAAAATTGAAAACATTATGTTTTATTATAAAACGAAAAGAATTAAAAAAATTTAAATCGAAGAAAAAATTATTTATAGTATGAAAAAAAGAAATTTTAAAATAATTTTTGAAAATATATAATAAAAATAAAACAAATTTATAAACAAAAGAAAGTTACGAAAATTAAATAAAGAATATATAAATATTATTTATTAAAAATTAAAAAAATTAAGTTTTATTGTAACGAGAAAAGAACTAAAAAGAATTTTAAATCGAAAAAATATTTATATTATGAACAAAACAAATTTAAAAAAAAAAACGTAAAAGAAATCTCTGTGCAGCATGAAGAGTCCTACGATAATGCAATGAGACAAACGATTGGACTTTATCAAACACTTTGAATCTTTAACAAGTTTTTGAAAATCTACAATTTTGATGCTAATGAAAATAAAATAAATACAAAATTCATACAAAGCACGTGATAAAGACTAGTTATATAAAAATAACATAAAGCATTTGCCAGCCACAATCACGGCTTTTATCAGTCCCATTTGTCATAAAATATTCGAAAGGTCGTCTTTCTTAAAAATTATTTCAATTGCATTTTCTTTTCAATAAAATAATTTTACTTTAAATCATAATTTATTTATTTGTTATTTATTTTATTTATTTATTTTTACTACGCATACTTCCAAAAAGTCAATTTTCAAAAAATCTACATCATGCTTTTATAAGTTCTTTTCATATTTAAAAATTTGACTAAATGCTTGTTTCAAATAATTTAAAAATTTGCTAAACTAAGGTAAAAAATTAATTTCAACTATATATATTCATGATATCCACAAATTTTTATCAACTTTTAAATTCTAAATTTTTTTATCAAAAAGATATGTTAAACACCACCTACATATCTAATCTTATTTTTATAAAAATACAGTGAAGTTTTGAGAAAACTCGATATCAAAATGAGTCAATCGTACTAACTCATTTATCCAAGCACTTCTTTTCATTATTCTCCTAATTATTATACATGATTAAATAATTTAGTCAAAATTTTGAAAAATAAGGAAAAGTTCTTGAAAAATAACGTGAAGGAAAATTTTCTTCTCAAGGAAAGGTATTATTTTGGATTGTGAAATTGCCAATAGAAGACTTTGTCAAAGAAAATAAAAAATTATTATTTTCTTTTTCCGTAACTATATTTTGGTCATTATAAAATTCCTCTATTGGAATTGATAGTCCTTATTACATATGAAAATTTATGAACAATTATTGCATAGAAATCATGTCTTCTATTCTTTCTACTTCAATAATCAAGTAATTTTTTTTTTTTTTTTATAGTATTCTTAAACTTAGTATCATCAATTCAAAACGCAATTAACATAATAATGATATGATGCACTTCATTGTATCTTTGAAATGATTTATTTGAACTCAATAAGTTAGAGTAATTGGTGAATGGTGACGATGAACAATATAGGGGATTAGAAAAGTGACATGGTGATCCATCTTGAAACTTATCTATGCTCTTGAGCATGAAATCCAAAATTTATTTCAATAAATACAATCAACATTAATCCTATAAATCTTTAGTGTAGAAATGCAATAAACATGACGACTACATCGTGAGAAATCCTCTACAAAGACTTTTGACTATATTTTGCTTATTTAAAAGTCAAATGATAAGTTTCTTTTACACACTTATTTGTGCTTTTAATTTTGATAAATTACAACTTATATGAGTGAATTCCTAATTTATTATGTGAAATTATGTGATTTGTAGGTAAATATCAAGGTTGAGCGCAATTGGTGTAAAAGGTAGTTATTTGAGCTTAATTGAAGATTAATTCAGGTTCTTGAAGATCATTCGGGGCTCAATTAACCAATTGGAAGAATTTATTGGAGCAATTGGATGAATTCATGAGATTAAGCATGAAAAATTAACAGCTGAAAAGTTTGGGGGACCAAAATAGAAGTTTAGAAAAGTTGAATGACTAAACTGCAAAAAGTTGAAATTATGCCACGTATGGACCTCGGTTTGCAAAGCAGCGGCCCACCCGCTGCCACTATTTTCCCTGCATGCCACAGGTAGGTCGTGGATTTGCAACCTGCAGCCGGTCCGATTGGGGTGATTTTTCACGTCTTTTTTCAATTTATTTTATTTTATTTTCTATTCATGTTTTTTAGTTTGTTTTGGATGAGAATTCTTCTAAAATGTATAATATTACTAAATAAAGACTTGAATTAGAGGAGAAAAGTGGTTCCACAACTTGAGAATTAAAGAGAAACACATCCACAAAATAAATAAATAAATAACAAGATTTGAAGCATTAATTTGGGTAAGAAGAGTGTTTTGGTGCAAGATTCATCAACATCTCTCCATCATAATTCAAAAATTCGGTAATGTACTCAAATTTTTTTCATCCATTATGCGTAGCTAAAACTTTTGTTAGAACGAATAATGTAATTTATTGAGACCCTTTAAGTCGATTTTCAAGAGTCTATAGTTCTCAAATTTATTTGTGTTGATTTTATTTATTATGTTTAATGTGTGAATTACTTGGGCAATAATTTATTGATCTTGTGAATCTACTACAAGTCGACATGTTAGTTTTAAGTTTAGACCACGTAGTCAAATTTGAAAACTACTATTAAAGCTTAGAGATACATTTTCAAATTAATGTGGTCATTACATAGATTTCTAGAGATTTAGGGCATTTAACTGAAGTGTATCCGAATTAACATAGAGCTATCGAATTGACTTAATTAAATAGAATCAATTTGTACTCAAGAGACGTAAATTAAATATGTTAGAAGAATTTGAACGAACACTACATTATGTTATAAATCTTGAATAGAAAATTAAATGTAATTGATAAATGAAATTGTGTGCCCTAACATCTC